TGTACACACTGGTTCAGTTGTCACCAAGTTCAGAAACAGGCAACACTGAACTATTTTGTTCAGGGATGCGTACATAGATGATAAACCTGTAAAGAAAGGCAATGAAACGTTTATCATAAAAGTGTGGATAGTGATTGTCTCTAGGGATCAGGGAGGTGGGACATTATAAGGAAGGGATAGGTGGGCTGTAAGGACACCAGCAGTGTTTATTTCTTGTCTAGTTGCATAGGCATTTGCTTTATAAACTATTTGTTAAACTCTGTACATGTGTTCTGCACTTTACTGTGTACATGTCATATTTCACAATTAAAAATAATTTTAAAGATGCTACTTTGCATAGACATTTTTCTAAAACCAGTTCCTTTCTACTTACAGATAAGCTGTGCATCAGAGGCCTTGAGTACCCAAGCCTCTGAGCAGAACAGTTCACTGGATGATTCTTTGCTAACTCTGTAGACCCCCTTGTACTTACAGATGTTCCAAATCAGAAGCTGAAGCTTAGGTTAAAAGTTGATACTGAATTCTGATGGGTAACTTTTGGAGAAACAGACAACATTGTTTCACTTCCTTTCCAGAATGAACACTATACAATGTAGAGCCCTTGTGTGTCTCCAGAGTCTTGTGTCCCTCCTGGACATGGACCATCTGGGAGGAGCTCCAGCCCTTCAAGAACTTGCACAACATCTGTCACAACTTCTTTTTTCTCAGCAAGGTAAATATTTAGGCCTTACTGTGAAAGACTAGTCTGACAGAGCAGAATTTTGAAGGGGCAGGAACTCAGACTTGGTAATTATACATTGTCTGTCATACAACTTGCAGAAACCTTTCCCAAACACTAACAATCATATAGTTACAGTTGCCAGTGGCATAGAGTCAAAACCAGGTATGCAAACAGGTCTCTAGGTTATATTTTTCTTTTTTTATAGAATTATTTGCATTCAGTTATGTCAGGTCTATTAAGGCTAAATCATAAATATCATAAAGGCCTTATTGAAATATTTGGGTAACTCTCTATTCTTCTTAATTATAAGAATTTTAATTTGATTGGACAATATGTATGTGTAATCCAAAATTCAAAAGTTCTTAGAAGACATAAAGTGGAAAGCCTCCTGTTTTTGTCCCACACCACCCAGTTCCTCTCCCAGGGTCATCACTATTAACGCCAGTTTCTTATATACATATAATACATATATACATACGATAATATTTCATAGTTCATTGCAGTAGTATCTCATTTAACGTGACCACATTAAACTATAGGAGCTCAAGCCAAATAAACAAAAAAGATAGAGACTGAGAGGAAAAGCAGTATTTTATATAGTAGAGGAAAATTGTCCACATTACACAGCCTGCATTCCTGGAGTGAGAGTAATAAAGGAGAAGGGAATCTGCCGTACTCTTAGCTCCTCAGTTTCAGAGGATCTTTAGGGATTTTTTTAGGGTAAACTTGAAGATATTTGCTTTCTGCATTGACTTTAACATCTGACCACCAATAAGATAACTC